TTTTAAATAACTAAATAATATAAATGTAATTTTAAAATAATTTTTATATTTAAGCTTTATATTTATATAATATAAAATAGTTAGTGTATTTAACATATAGCACTGTGGGGTGTCCAGAGACTTTTAGACTATAATTTTAGTACTACAGGCAACTTGGGCCGGGGTTTGGCCGGTCCAGCCACTAAATTTACAGCACTCTTACAGGGCACAACCGTTAAGAATACAGCAGATGTAGGATCCTACTGGAAAGGTTCGCCAGCTTCAGAGTCCACTTTATGTTTGATCCTCAATAGACTTGCGCGAGAGGACAAGTAAGAACAAGCTTCACTCGCGAGGTGTCCTTTTGCATGTGAATAAGCCACTATGCCTTTTCTTCAACATTCTATTGGCTCTGGACCTTGATCTGGAGCTAAGCGCACAAGTTGTTGTCCGAACGTCGGAAGGAATTCCACTCCCAGTAGTAGAGCGTCTGCTCACCACCGTCGCTTGCTCCTTTGTTTGCCAGAATGAATTCAATGCTGTTAATGCCGGAGGAACGGGATTCCCGAAGCCCGCAGGCACTTCGCATGTGCTACAGAAGTCTGCCGAGCTGCTCTTTAGTCACCAGGCTGAGTTGCTACTGAGAGGAGTTGTGGGTATAACGGTGAGGAAGTTTATAATGATCATGGAAGCTCTGACAACATTTTGGCATCTATAACCAATTTCAATTTAGTTCCCAAACGGCTGCTAGAAACATTGTTGACATGGTACCATGTATGCTTGTAACTTCTATAAACTTTCCGCCATGCCGCTTAGTATCTCATATAGCGCCCAAGCTCCGGGGTCAGGAACCTGCTGCTCACTAGCCTCCCCAACATACAAAGCCCTTCCAAGTTTCGGCCTCAGATATCGCGTAGCCTCTGCCTTTTCCTTCGCCTTCACAACTGAATCCCCAAAACTCCTTGTCCTCACAAACTCATCCGAAAACGGTAGAAGAACATCCATCACAGTGCGATCTCCCTCTCTTGCTGTCGTGCAAGTCTTGAGAGATTCTACAGCAGCTTGAAGCGCTTCGGCGTAGATCTCTGCGGTCATCGCCTGGCTGACTTTCTGGTCTGCGAGTTGGCGCTTGAGAGCGTTGTTGAGAGCTGTGAGGAGGATGCCAAAGATTGCGCCTAGGGTGCCGCCCATGTCGTCAATGGTATCGGTAATTGCTTCGAGGAACGACACAACAGAGCCTGGGGCAGCAATTCCCTCATCAAGCTTTCTAATCACCGACTCGCAAAGCCCTTTGACTGCTTCGCCGCAGTCACCGTCGCCCATCATCATATCCCACTCGGTTAGTTTTGGCTCAGCAAGGATCGCCTTCTCACAAGGAGACCTAATGCATCTCTCAAGCAATGATGCATCCATGGAGTCATACTGTTTGGCTGTCACAACTGATGTTTCTTCGTTTGTATGGCCATTTTGCTTTCCTTCATCCCTAGTAACAAGCTTCTGTGATGGTCTGACAAGGTTAGGCCATGAAACCGCTGTTGTAGGCCGGTCAACAAGCTTGAGTAAGGTTGCGGTTGTTGAATTGCAAAGACTCGATGCAGCTGATATGAAAATCCGTCACTTGCCCTGTATCATGGACAAGGTAGAGAACAAACAGTCGTTCGAGCATGACGACAACGTCATCGATCCCAAGCCAGACTCTATGGCGAATGATGACTATGTACCCAGAACTGAAGCAGAGAAGAAGCTCGTTCGCAAGATCGACCTCTACATTCTCCCCATGATGTGGTTTATGTATCTTATGTCGTACATGGACAGAACCAAGTCAGTATCTCCCCTTTTACACACACGTTATAGTCTGGCTGACAGTAATAGCATCGAAATGCCAAGATTGCCGAAATGGACAAAGACCTCAACCTTGACTCCAACAAATATTCCATCATACTCGTCGTCTTCTTCGTCGGATATGTCGTCTTCGAAGTTCCCTCCAACATGATCCTCACAAGGATCCGTCCGAGTCGATACCTTCCCGGCATCATGTTTGTCTGGGGCGGCGTCACAATCGCCATGCCTTTCACGGGCACCTACGAACACATGATCGGTTTCAGAATCCTCATGGGCGTTCTCGAATCCGGATTCGCTCCTGGCATGCTTCTGCTGCTATCTTCATGGTATAAGAATGAAGAGCAGAGCAAGCGATTCGCCGTGTACATCTCTGCTGCTATCCTGTCTGGTGCATTCGGTGGCCTCTTGGCTGGCTCCATCACAAGCGGTCTCGACGGTGCACACGGCAAGGCTGGTTGGAGATGGTTGTTTGTTGTTGAAGGCGCTGCCACTATGGGTGTCGCCTTGATTGCGTGCTTTGTCCTCCCTGACTTTCCGGCAAACACGTCGAGGCTCAAGTTCAGCCAGGAAGAGATCGATCTTGCCATTCGAAGGCTGCAGCATGGTAGACCACAGGTTGTTTCTGAAGATGAAGTGAAACTGGGCCATTGGCAGGCTTTCAAACTTAGCATTACCAACTGGCGCACTTGGCTCTTTGTTGTTTGTTGTTGGGTACATGGTAAGTCTACGCTCCTTGTTTCTGGATCACGATCAACTAACGGAAACCTTTAGGCAATCGTCGGCTCTTCAACGCTTTCCTACTTCTACCCGACTCTCGTCAAAGGTCTCGGATACGAATCCACCGCAGCTCAGTACATGACAATCCCTATTTTTGGCGTTGCATTCGTCGTCACGGCCCTCACCGGCTACTTCGCCGATAAGAACAGCAAATGGCGAGGCGTTATACTGTGTGCCTGGATGAGCGTCGCCATGCTATGCGCCATCATCATTTGCGTTGTCTACAACTTCAAAGCGCGCTACGCCCTCCTTGTCATCATGGCTGCGGCACTCTGGGCTTCCAATGGCTTATCGCTGTCTTATGCCTTAACTACGTTTGGTTCCATGCCCAACGAGACTCGTGCCATCTCGCTGGCGTTTGTCAATGCGATGGGTAACCTTGCGCAGATATACGGTGCCTACTTGTTCCCAGCTTTAGAGAAGCCAAAGTATCTCACGGGGTTTGGCGTCATCAGTGGGTTGTGCTTTACCGGAGCTGTTTCATATATCCTTTTACATGTTTTCCTCAAAGGCAAGAGACGTGTTTAGTGCTAATAGTATTGAGAAAAGTATGCAATGTACTTCCAGTTACTGTCAGTCACCGTCAGTCACGGCTTACAAACTGCTCTCTTCCCCAGGTGAGGAATTTTGTATTAACTGACAAAGTACTAGGTGCCTATAACTAGGTACCTTACCCTGAAGCACACAAAATTTGGTCCTGTATCGGAGTGGGGGTGACTCATCTTTTCGGGATTATTTTATTCCGACAGGTTTAGAACCTGAAGCTTCATAACCCCTCACAATGATGATCGGTCGTGATTTCACAATCACGAAGAGCTTATCACCATCAACGTCAACAACACCGACATGTCGCCTGTCGTCATTCATCTCCGGACCGAGACAAAGCCTCTAGAGCGTCGCTCTCCATGTAATGACTCCTTTCGCGTCTCATAAAACCCTCATCTAACAATTCAGTGTCACCTGCGACTGCTAAGGCTTTGCTCGACGCTGGTTACACAGTTCGAGTTGAAGAATCCCCGGACCGCATTTACAAGATTGACGAGTTCAGAGATGTTGGGGCTGAAATCGTACCCGCTGGCTCGTGGGCCAATGCACCCAAGGAGGATATTATCCTGGGATTGAAGGAGATTGAGGCGAATGGTAGTATGTTTGCTCATGACGTATCTTTGGCTTCGCTTACTGACCACGTCCAGCACCGTTACCTCACACCTACATTCACTTTGCTCATGTATTCAAGAAGCAAAGTGGCTGGGCTACTGAGCTGTCTCGTTTCGCAAACGCGGACGGCTTACTATATGACTTGGAATTTCTCACGGACGAAGATGGACGCCGGGTAGCTGCATTCGGATATTGGGCGGGATATGCCGGGACCGCACTGGCACTCTTGTCCTGGGCTCATCAACTCCTCAACCCTGGTGTACCCCAAGGACCAGTTCCCGTCGTCGACTCTGCCTCTGCTTTGACAGAACTTGTCAAGGATAAGGTCGACGCTGCACGTTCCGCCAACGACGGTGCGCTCCCTCGCCTGATCGTAATCGGTGCCCTGGGCCGCTGCGGCAAAGGTGCCATCGCAGCAGCTGAGGCCATCGGTGTTAGTGACATTCTGAAATGGGACATTGCTGAAACCAGCAAGGGTGGCCCATTTCCTGAAGTCGCTTCGTCTGATATCTTTGTGAACTGCGTCTACCTAGGTTCCAACAAAATCCCTCCCTTCACGACTTTCGAAGCACTCTCAGCACCCGACAGACGGCTCCGGGTCATTTGCGACGTCAGCTGCGACCCCAACAGCGAGAACAATCCCATTCCGGTGTACTCCAGCTATAGTTCGTTCGAGAACCCGACTGTTCCTGCTTCTGAGCATATTGACGGTCCCGAGCTGCGCATTATTGCTATCGATCACCTTCCTACCATGGTGGCACGTGAGTCTAGTGACGAGTATTCCTCACTACTTCTGCCAAGTTTATTGACTCTGGACCGCCGGGATACTGAAGGGGTTTGGCAGCGAGCGGAACGGATCTTTCGCGAAAGGGCTGCAGAACTGCCTTAAGTCTTTGTATACCCTTAGTTCATAAAATATCTAGAAAGGATAAAAAAGAATTTTTAATTCCTCTAGGAGTATTCTTTTCTTAGAAAGCTCCAACCTGAAGAAATAGAGAATTCTAATTCTAACCACTGCAACTCAGTATCGCACTAATAATCATCCCCCGCCGACCTGTAATCTCGTTCTTCAGAAGTGTGATTGGAATTATAATCCCTGACGCAACATTTCAAACTCCACTAATCTCGTTGAGAGGCATTTGCTATTTCCCTTCGTCGTGAGTGATGACAGCCACTATTAGTTATAAAATTCCAAAGTTCTCATATCATTCACGAATGGTGACGTGTCGCCCTTTGGTGCAATGGCCGGGCTTCTACGACGCCGTACAGGCTACAGTTTAATCATCCACTTGTAAGACTCTAGGTGGCAGGAGGCATTAACACAGAGGTCAAGGCACCTAAAGTAGTTTTATAATTAGGACAAAAATTGAGGGGACCCTAGTCAAAGCAAGTAGTCGATCCCGTATAATCCCTGTGACATGGATCGAATGGTCGGTACGGTTAAAAAGGAGAAAGGTTTACAACCCCCTTCCATTTTGTTGGGAATGTGCCGTAGGCAGCGTTCGAGCATTTTTACAAATTGGGTTAGATCAAATTGTGCGGGGCGGTGTGTTGAAGGTGCCTGAGGCACCTACCTTGTATATCAGCCGGACCTCCCGGCCCGAGACCTTAGTTAGCTACAGTCAATACACATATATCCCTCTTAACAGGTTATGAGCCCCTTACGCGTATATCCGCTATACAATTAGAGGGATTTTGGCTATTACTATTGAATTTAGAAGGTAAAAATACCCTATTATAGAGGTTAAGCTGCTAAAAAACCCCCTATAGGGAGAGAACTACGTGCCTAAAGTGCCCTATATTCCTTAAAAATAATAAAAACTAGTATTATTAAGGCTAATAATGCCTTAATTTACTAAAAAATAAGGTTATAATTAGTTAGGCCTAATAATAAACCTATAAATATTTATTAATAAGTATATTTTATACCTTAAACTAAACTATTAAAGGTTATATATTAAGTAATTACTTTATATAAAAAGCTTAAGGCTATATTACCTTAGTATAACTAAAAAAATTATAAAAATGCAAAAAGCTAAAATTAAACTATAACCTTAAAGAAAAAGCAAGGCAAATTAATCCTTTAAAAGCCTAGCGCTAATTGCCCTAACCCCTTATATTATCTTACTTTATAATAGCTTTAATTATATAGCTATTTAAGCTAAAGAAGTAAAAATTACTAATAATACTAAAACTTAAGCTTTTAATAATCTAAATAGTAAAAAATCTATAAAAAGAAATAACCTTTTTAATATATTATTAGTTATAGTAGTTTATTTACTTATTAACCTAGTACTAGAGTATTTCCTAAGTACTTTAAGAGCTATAATATAATTCTTTAAAAGCCTAGTACTAGTTATACTAACCCCTTATATTACTTTACTTTATAATAGCTTTAGTTATATAGCTATTTAAGCTAAAAAAGTAAAAATTACTAATAATAGTAAAACTTAAGCTTTTAATAATTTAAATAGTAAAAAATTTATAAAAAGAAATAACCTTTTTAATATATTATTAGTTATAGTAGTTTATTTACTTATTAACCTAGTACTAAAGTATTTCCTAAGTACTCTAAGAGCTATAATAGCTTAGTTTATATAGTTTTACTTAATAAGAAATTACTAATTCCCTAGATTAAATAGTACTATAATAACCTTAATATATTATTAAAGGTAAAATAAGAGAGTTAAGCAGTAAATATTTCCTAGTAAAGGCAGCTACCCTTTTATAATTATTAGATAAAAGGCTACTAAACTAACTTTAAACTATTATATTATTAGCTAAATATATTAGAAGGGGATGTAGGATTAATTCTAAGGTAGGTCTTAGTATTTTAGGATAAATACCAAGACCCGGAACAACTATAACCCGCTATTCAGGAGGATATAATTATTACGTATTAATAAAGGACTTTTATAAAAAGCTATAAGCTAAAAAGTAGTAACTATAAAAGCTATTTATAAAGTATATTAAGCTAAAGAGCCTAGTACTATAAATTTACTATATTACTATTACTAGTAAATATAAAAGTATAAAATAGTAATAAGGAAAATTATATATAGTATAGGCTTAATTATAAAGCTTAAGGAAGCTAATAACTATAAAGAATAGTTTACCTTTATATAAATTAACTTAAAGGTAATAGAATTAAAGTACTATATTAATCCTAGAGTAATAATTACTACTAATACAGATAAGAAGGTAGTAGTAAAGTTTAAATAAAAGAACTTAAATATAAAGATAATTATACTTTAATTAATTAACTTATTAGTCTTTATAAAGCTCTAGAGATTAAAATAGTTATAAATAATAACTATAAAAGAGATATAAAGATTTATTAAGGCTATAGTATAAGAAGCACTAGAGAAGGATTTTTACTAGCTTATTTTAATATTTATTAAACTAAATAGAAAGAACTTTAAATCCCTTAATAACTATATTAATAAGCTTAATAAGACCTAGAAGCAGATTATTACTAAAAAACTAATAATACCTAAAAGCGTATTATTTATAATAGCTCTTAAAGGTATTAAAAAGTCTAACCTAAACTAGTTTAATAACTAGGATTATAATATTAAAAGGGAAAG